TCGCCTCCCCACCCCCTCCCCTTCCGTTTTCTCCCTCCCCACTCCCCTAGAGCCGCCACGCAGGCTAATGGGCGTACGGAGATAAAGATATTGGTTTGAAAAGATCACTCGTGAGAGATTTTCAACACGAGAAGATAAAATTGGTATCTCCAAGCGACCATGTAATATTCTATTTATCATATAATTGTATATGAAAGAATATTATGTCGTAAAACGGCTTTTTTCTTATTTACACTATATAGAGAATCCGCGAATGAGTTATTTTCACTAGTGAAAATATCAACTTTACGAAATGAAGAAAATAGAGGATATTACATGGCCGCACGGAGATACGGATTTTATCTTCGAGTGTTGAAAAGATCTCTCACGAGTGAGCGTAGCGATCTTTTCAACACTCGAAGATAAAATCCGTATCTCCGCGCGGCCATGTAATATCCTCTATATATTTCATAAATTATTATATGATGAAAGAATATATCACATGCTTTCGAAGATCTCGAAACTGAAGTATTGATTCTGACGAAATTATTGCCATGATTCAAAACGATCGAGGCAAAACTTATATGCAACATAGTGGAGGGTTGACAAGAAAGGTTTTACTCACCGATAAATCAAGATGCAAGAATGTTTCCTTGGAATTGTCTGGAAGCGAAGGCGTTTTCTTTTGATCGGCGTTTGCATCCAACAACTAGACCAAAAGCCTAAAAGTTGGAATGGAATTTTTTATTATAAGTGAATCAAAACCCTTTTCCAAGCAAAATTCCTGCTTCAATAATATTCACATATATCACACCTGTCCACTTCTGCCATCGATCGCCACATTTTGCAAAAATAACTTAGATGTAGGTATCAAAATTCTTGCAATGCCGTTTAGAAGCAAGATGGATCTTTATTACCGAATTAAAGGCTACAAAAACTAAAAATTCAAAGGCTCTATCTATATATATCTACATCAAAAAATGCTTCGTTGCACATTCTTCAGTTAATACATACAATCATAGAGCAGAACATACGATTCCTGCAGCGGGATCATGATTGGTAAAACGATGTAAACATCAGCAATATAATATCTTGATGGATTAAAGAATTGATTCAAACTTTTCCCCTGCTTTTTCAATTCAATTTTGTATTTCAGTTACGCAATACTTGCAAAAGTTGTCAGCTGACTCAACGCTAGTTTTACAGTATGTCTTCTTCCGTCATCAAAGCCAACCAAAAAAAATATTCCATTGAATTTCAGTCTCTATCTGATACTTTGTGGCAATTAATTGCGCAAAAGGTTTTCTTACTTCAGTAGATCAAACCTTAATGACTACTTGACGAAAAACTTTGTTACAATATATTTATGGGATTAAGCAAGAAGGGTAAAGTTCTGAAAGGTTTTACTTACCGATATGTCAAGAAGCAAGAGTAGTTTCTCGTGAAATTATCTGGAAGCGAAGGCGTTTTCTTTTGATCACCGTTTGTAGTCAACAACCATTGGATCAACCTAAAAAGTATATGTATTTATTTTCATTATTAGCGACTCAAAACGCGTTTCCAAGTAAAATTTCTGCGTAATGACACTTACCATTATCACCGTATCGCCACATTTCTCAGAAAGAATTTCAGGACAACTCTTTCCTTCTGTTTAGGAAAATGAGTCTACACAACTAGTATCAGAGAGGCGCTGCCGTTATTAAAATGTGCTTCGTTGCACATTCTTCAGTTAATACATACAACCAGAGAGCAGAACGTTTTTTGCAGTGTGAATCTGAGTAAAGATTGGTTAAACCATAAACTGTGAACATCAACAATATAAGATGAGCAATAAATATACCGATTGAAAGCATTTTGTGGGGGTAGTTTCTCTGCTTTTTCCTATTTTTTCGTTTAATTTGTATTTCTGCTCCACAAAGCTCTTTTATATAATTTACTGTGCAAAGTTTTAGAAATTGTTTTGAATTGTCTGAATAGTTGTAACAGTTGTCAGTTGACTCAACGCTAGATTTACAGTTTGTTACGTCACTCAAAGACACCCTAAGGCAAAGCTCCACTAGCAGACCAAAAGCCCATCAAAATTTGCTCTCTTTTGTTGGAATATGGCTATTAAAAACTATTCAACATTATCTAGTAAT